ACTCCAAGAACTCTGATGAAGAAGCAAGTGCTCTACGCTCAATATGTGGTAAGGAGAGAAGATGGAAATTTTTATACCTTCACCGACGCAGATCTACACAACCTCTGTGTGTTCGACCTCATCTATATGTACAAGATCTTAAATGTCTACTTGGAGAAGAGGTCAACCTATTCTTTATCCCTCGGAAGGCTGGTACAGGTTATGCGCGCCCAAGTAAAGTTCTACAGCCATAAGGATTTTGAAATAGCAGTAGGGTTGATGCAGAAGGATCTACGAATTTCTCCTCCACAGAGCCGGCCTAACTGGATCCACAGGCATCATCCCAACACCATTATTCACAGACCCTTGTTTGGATTTGTGTTTTTGGACAAAGATGAGATCCTGCGATTCTATGATCCTACAGAAGCTCCTCGTTATTCAACAGAGACGCTGGAGTGGATCTTCAAGTGTCCGGTGAAAGAGGTGGAAAGAGGTCATCTAAGGGAGGCAGAAGTGGCAGGCATCCCGGAGTCGATCAAAGTGCAAATAAACTTCAGAGAATGGGTCTTCACTGTCTATAGGCTGATCAAAGCAGATTTTTTTTATGCGGCAGATGACTTCCCAGAATCTGTAGTTTAATTTTTACTCCTTTGTAAAACAATTTTTGATATTTAAGTTTTGTAATTCTTTTATTCCAGTCCTTGTAATTCATTTCAAGTAATTCATTTCAGAGGCTCATGTTTTATCACCTCTTGTAATTTCATTTCAATCAAGTCATATCCTTGCACTTAAAGGTTAATTTTTACTTTTTCATACTTAGGGGGAGATTGTTAGCTCTCATTTCTTGAATGTAAAAGTATAGAAAAAGTAAAACAACAAGTATTGACAGAAGCTGATCTGTCACAGAAGMCCACAGAGGACAATCAACAGAAGAAGCTCAATCGTACAAGATTCAAGTGATAGAACCTCTATCATCCATCACAGAGGTTCTGGTAACTTTTCCTCTGCAAAGACCTTGCTATAAGTCAAAGATGACAGAACCTCTGTCGTGTCTCACAGAGGTTCTGGAAGATTTCCTCTGTGCTCTACAAAGTTTCTTCCAGCAGAGCCTCTGTGATGTCTCACAGAGGATCTGCAAAAATGTCTTCTGTGTAGATTATCTTTAGCACGTTTTACTTAGGTTTATTAGCTGCTCGTGACTTTCACGTGATCTTGTCTATAATTTGTTTTAGATGAACGGCTTAGATTTAATTGCTTTAGGTCGTGTCAGGAAATGGTTACTTGCCTGTTTAGATAGCAGCGTAGGCCTTTGTATTTGGTGTGCTTCCAGAATTGTAATAGTTAATATTTTCAATCAATTGAAAATCATTTGAAGCTTTTCACTTTGTGTTATTCAAGTGTTCTTCATTGTGTTCATACCGATTGTTGCTTGTTTGGTTATAATACTTTCCGCTGCTTACTCACTGTCAATCCAATCAATCAAGTAAGTATTCAGTACCAAGAACTGAGTTATACGATCCTAACACTCTGGTTGTAAATATTTAACTTTTTTTGGACGAAGAGGCTCTGGGCAAATAAATAAAAGGCTGTAAATGATCAAATGGCCTTTACTCTAATTCCTTCTAGGCCTTCATTGATTTATCACACGGCCTCTGCATACTGCATGTAGATATTCTGCCTTGCTATACAGAGCTCTAGAGTATGAAGAGTTTTTCTTCAGCGTAATTTCAAGATTGGAAGCCTTGTATTAAACTTAGTTGCACTTGCAAGTTAAGTCTAAGACTTGGAAGATAAGTCTCTACAACCCCTTTGGTTGGTC